AGCCAAAAAAGAGTCTCCCTCGATTCAGCCCGTTAACTTCCAGCCCCAAAGGCTCAAAGCCCAAACAAATTCACTAAAACTACCATTCAAACCCTAAACCCTAAACCCTAAGGGCTCCCCACGAGTTCCCCTATGGGGCCCCTCGGGGCCCCACAGCTTAACCCAAGGGGCCCCTGGGGGCCCCCTAAGACCCTCAGGGGCTCCCAGAGGGCCCCAGGGCGCCCCTGGGGGCCCCCAGGGCGCCCCTGGGGGCCCCCAGGGGGCCCCTGGGGGCCCCCAGGGGGCCCCCGGGAGCCCCCAGAGATGTCGGGGGGCCCCTGGCTAGAGACCCTCTTTGGGGCCCCCGGGGGGCGCCAAAGGGGCCTTTTTCGGGGGCCCCTGGGGGCCTTTCGGGGGCCCCTTTGAATATGAACTGGAGGTTTAATTAAAAATTTTTTATTTTCTTTTTTGTAAAAGTGGAAAGGCCTTCTTTGTTGAGGTGTCTGTACACCTCAGCTGAACATCGAACTGACTCCTATAGAGCCCAGAGAGGGCTGCAGCAAATAAACAAATAAAAATAAATAAATAAATAAATAAATAAATAAATAATTGAGCAGTACTTGTATTGGCAGAGTTTATACACAAAAACAGGAAGCAGTGCAGCAGCAATAGCAGCAGAAGCAGCGGCAGCAGCAGCAGCACGGTAGCAGCAGCACCAGCAGCAGCTAACTAGAAAGATGGGTGCTCCAGCAACAACATCGTGGGAAGCTTTAACAAAAGGAAGAGAAGCAGCAGCAGCAGCAGCAGCAGCAGCAGCAGCAGCAGCACCAGGAGTACAGCGGCAGCACCACAACCGCCAGCAGCACAGCAGCGGCACCGCCACCACCAGCAGCGCAGCAGCAGCAGCAGCAGCAGCAGCTCACTAGAAATATGGGAGCTCCAGCAGCAACATCATGAGAAGCTTTAACAAGAGGAAGAGCAGCAGCAGCAGAAGCTCCAATTTGTTTTGTTTGTTCAAAAGCAGCAAAGTACGGCGAGCTGTATATACACCCCGTCGAGTTCGCCTGGTCTCCGTACAACAGCTGCAGCAACACGCAACGCAAAACCCTGCTGCTGCTGCTGCTGCTGCTGCTGTTGTTGTTGCTGCTGCTGCTGCTGTTACTGTTGCTGCTGTTGCTGCTGCTGCTGTTGCTGCTGTTGCTGCTGCTGCTGTTGCTGCTTTTGCTGCTGTTGCTGCTGCTGTTGTGGTTGTTGTTGCTGCTGCTACTGCCGTTGCTGCTACTGTTGTTGTTGCTGCTGCTGCTGCTCTTGCTGCTTCTGCTGTTGCTGATGATGGTTTTGCTGCTGTTGCTCTGGGGTTTAGGGTTTAGGGTTTAGGGTTTAGGGTTTGCTGTTCTGCTTCCAAGTGGACCGTGGCTTCATCCTTTTCCCCTAAAAGCGCCGATATATTAAAATGAATTTAATTCTTTTTAATTAATTAATCACTTTAATTTATATAATTTAATTAAATTAATTTAATTTAACTATTTATTTGTTTATTTTTTTATTTCTTACCTTCATCTTTAAGTTGTAGCGACACTTCCAGTTGATGAGCAGCAAAACAATCTGAGCAAACAGAAGCACCAAATTAGGGTTTAGGGTTTAGGGTTTAGGGTTTAGGGTTTAGCAGTGAGTTATTCACTTACTGCTATTTTTCCCAATTATGAATACGTAAATAAATAAACAAATAGATAAATAAATACAGATAATTGAAAATGATAAATCAACAAAAAGAGAAGAATTTAAATAAAACAACAAAAGGGGGAAAATTAAGAATGAATAAAATTAAAAAATAAAACAAAAGACATTTAATGAAATACAAACATTAAATTAACGCCACAAATGACCAAATTAAATTAAATTAAATTAAATTAAATTAAATTAAATTGGGATGAAACATGATTAAAATTAAAGTAAAAAAAAAATAAAACAAAATAAAAATAAAAATGAAAACTTCAAAAAGACAAAAAATAGGAAAATGAAACTAAAAAGGAATAAATAGAAGTAAAAGAAATCGAATGAATGAAATAGAGAAAATGAATAAAAAATGAAAATAAATTAAAAGAATTTAGTCAATTAAATCACATTAAATCGAATAAAAATAAAATAAAATAAGAAAGCATTAAAAGGAAAAAGAAATAAATAAAAATTAAATTCTGAGAAAACGAAAATATAAAATTAAATGATTTAAATTGAAAAGATAAAATATGTGAACGAATTAAAGAAGAAAATCGAAAATAAGTAAATAAAAAATAATCAAATCAGAAAGAACTACATCAAAAATAATTAAATATAAGTAATTGAATTAAAAAAAATTAAATAGAAAGGAATTAAATAAAAGAATTATATTAAAAATAATTAAATTAAAAATGATTAAATAAAACAATTAAATCAAAAAGAATTAAATAAATTAACTTTTCAAATTAAAAACCAAAAAGTGCACATTTGAGGAAATTAAAAAACTTAAATTCAAAAGACCCACGGAACCAAATAAACCAAATCAAATCAAATCAAATAAATCAAATCAAATCAAATAAATTAAATTAATTGAATTAAATTAATTAAATCAAATTAATTAGGTCAAATTAATTAAATTAAACTAAATTAAATTAATTAAATTAAATTAAATTAAATTAAATTAAATTAATAAAAGACCTTCCAAATGCAAAGAAAGATGCTGAAGATTTTCGTCAAGTCGTGCAGGTCCGCCTCCACAGATCCTAAAAAGACATTTCATTTATTTTAATTATTTATTTTACTTATTTACTTCATTCATTTATTTCATTTATTTATTTTATTTACTTATTTTATTTATTTATTTATGTTATTTATTTATTTTGATTATCCATCTTAATTATTTAATCAATTTATTTATTGTGATTATTTTATTTCAATTATTTGTTTTATTTATTTAATTTAATTATTTTAATTTGTTTATGTGTTTTATTATTATAGTGTATTTAATTTCATTATTTTAATTTATTTATTCAATTTCATTTATTTTACTTAATTTCAATTATTTAATTTTTAATTTTAATTATTTTAATCTATTAATATAAATTTAATTGAAGTAATTTGATTTAATTCATTTGATTTATTTCATTTGATTTAATTTAATCAATTTCATTTGATTAATTTGATTTGATTTATTTGATTTGATTTAATTAATTTGATTTGATTCAATTTAATTTGATTCGACTTGACTAATTCGAGTTGATTCAATTAATTGGATTTGATTT